GGAGATGAATTCTAGGTTTAGATCTGAATATGATGACATGCGTCTAGTTTATTCCTCTTAGGATTGAATAGCTGGGTTTGCGTATAGGATAGGAATATATCTATACGCCGTGTGTAACTTTTATGAGAGTTTGAACTTAATGAATCTATTCCAACTTATTTTGCATAGGAATATAGTAATTTAATTGGGATAGATAATTTTATCTAACTATCGGAAGATGTTTGATAAATAACTTTGAGTTCTCAGTTAACAACTTATTTTGATCAATTAACTGAAAAGAGAGTTAGAGGGATTTATACGAAGCATTAGGGGAAGTTTTAATCTTAACTTCTTTTCTATAGTAAATTCAACCCTTGATTGTTAAGTTTAGATTTAGTTTTAATTAGTAATTCCATAGCTCAATTTCAATTGTTTAAATAAAATTGAATTGATATAAAGTTAGTACTTGAAATTTATTACTAATAATTCTCCATGGGAATGATACTCTACTTATTACTTTATTATTTGTTGATCATGTATACTTGCACGTAAATTGTCAATATCAAATTCGGACAACAGTAGCTTCCTATTGGTGTTGCATTCGTGGTAGATTTGTTTGGCTTCTGCTCATGTTACAAGTTGAGACCATTAGTCACAGAAAGATCATCATATTTGTAACAGGAACAGTCGTTCCCACAGACGGCGCCAAACTGATGGTGTAAATCAACGTGGTGCAAATTTATGGTATTGAGCAAACGGTACGAACAATATGTGACTATTAGGATCTGAGCTGCAAGGCTCAAAAGAACAAGGATTGGTATTGATGGAAAATTGGGGGATTGACACAATGAAAATATAGTGGTTCACCAGCTCGGGAGCTCGGCTAATCCACTCTTTAATGGAAGCTCTTGCTCCTTTTTACTTTATTGATCATCCGAAAGGTTTTCAAGATCGATTCTATGTTACTAGCCTCCTTCCTCCCTCTGGGGGGGCGTTACTTACTATTTATAGGGCTTTCCCTAGTTTTGTGGGATCTACACTGAGATCCTTACCATTTATCCGAAGAACTTTCCTTGATCTTAGGAGAGGATCTTGGTTGGTTAAGGATTTTGTGCCTTGAATATGACTCTTTACCACCTGTAAGATTTCTATTGTCATCTAGTTGTTCCCTTATCAATTTCGCCATTGTCACGTCTAGGGGGAACACTAGCTCTGGTTCTCTAAGCTTTGTGTGTTTTTCCTGACCTTTTGGTCTGACCTGCTTGTCTGACCTCCGCACCTAAGCTCATACTTGAAAATTATTCTGAGTATAGACTCACAGCTACAAATACTTGAACTGTCCATGTGTCCACCATTCAAACATATAGACTCACAGCTGCAGAAGCAACAATAACCCTGCTGGTGAAGAAGACCAGAGCTGAACCCTGCTGCTTTTCTCTAAGCATGACTTTCTGTTCAGCTTCCAATTTTGAGGTCAGTTCATTGATTTTTTCGGTAAAGTACTCTATCAAATCTACCTTATTGCCAAAGAGACCAAGCAAGCCAGTTCTGTTCGTTGGTCTGATTCCTTTAGGCTTGCCTGTTTGATTTGACTCTGAATAAACTGCTTCAGCATGTGCAAGCTTCAAGAATATAAATCTATTTTAGTTTCACTCTTTTCTTTTCTTTTCAATTTTTTTTATATTGGACTTCCATTAATTGATAGTTAATTTTTTAGTTTGTGAAAAACAGGTTGAATTTATGGTCTAATAAGATGAGCTTAATATTATTAAGTGATCTATTTTGATAGTCTTATGTATATCTTTTAATTGATGTGGTTGAGGCAGCTAAGTGTAGGTCTTAACATAATTGTGGCCCATAATGGGAGAGCTCATTAGATTTCATTATAAATAGTAGGCTAGGTCTCCTCTCCCCTTCATCACCCTAAATTGGCTTGTCCCATTGAGATACGTCTATTACTTTGAAGAAGGAAAGAAAAACCTTGCTCTTTCACAAAAGAAATCTGGAGATCGAGTAGCATAGCTCATACAGGTATGTTCTAAACCTATATGATCCAAATCTTGTAATTTAGGTGTTCTAAATTTTATATATGAATCATTAAAATTTCTTACATGTGGTATCAGAGCCTATCGTATATGAATTTAGAACCCAATTTTTTTTATGATTACTTTTTTTATTTGTATAATTTGGAATCTAAAAATATTTTTGTGACGGCGCGGAATCAAATTCTCATCGCCGTCAATGGTTTGGGTGGATCAAGGTTACTGTTATTTTGATCAAAGTTACTGTTCTTGTAATTAATATTTTGTGATGTTGGCGGCACTATTTTTCTCAAAACAGTGGCTGTCAATGGTCACCATTAAATACATTCGTGTACATTACAAGAAAAAAAAATGGTGAAAGCTTGGATGGCCACAGTTTTTTTTTTTTAATGAAACTTGAGATGTTCTTTTCAAAGTCAAGAACTAACGTTGATTGTTCTCATCTATATATATGTGTGTGTGTGTGTGTGATTATTAAAATAATAAAAATAAATTTTGTTTAACCAATTGTGATGTTTATGTTAAAAAAATTTTATGATCAAATTTATTCTCTTTTGTGGATGACTCGTGTTAATAACATGGGGTCATATTGATAAATAAATGTAGACTTTACCCTTCTAAATTATTTTCTCATGTTGATGTAACTTTGATTGAATTGTTATAAATTGTAGAGGGTGTTTATACAATTCTAATTTTAATCCCTAGTGATTTATATGATAAAAATTTTTTTTATGATCTAAATGAGTGATCTAAAGAGATACATATTGGTTAGTACCTCATATTAATTGATCACATGATATTTAATTATGGGCAATTTATTATAATATCCCGGTTTGAGAAATTCTATGAGTTATGTGGATGGTTGCCACCAAAGTGGTTCATTTATTAAAAATTATAGATTTTTATCATGCTTTTGTTATGGGATGGTCTTTAAATTATAATATATAATTACCTGCCCAAAGGGGATTGTTGTGTCTTGTAATTTGGAGATGTCATGAAACATTGTAGTAAGGGTGCAATAGTCTAGAAGGTTTATCTGCCCAAAGGGGATAATTTTTTGAAACTTGAGCATTCTCATTGGTTAGTTTCATGAAAGAGAGGACCTATAGTATATTGCATTCTCTACCCAAAGGGGAGTTCGTAGTGATGTATTTGGACTCTCTTAATTAAATATGACTTATTATGTTCAAAACATATTTTTTTTATTTATTGTCCAATTTTGCTAATTGTTTATATTCTTGTTGCCTTGAATGGTCTCGTTTGCAATGAATAATAATAATGCCAACATTAAAATCTTGACTGTTCTAATTATAAGAGATGGAAACAAGATATTGAGTTTGCCATGAGAATTGCTGAAATAGACTTTGTCTTGAAAGATAATGAACCTCTTAAACCTGATAGTGAAAGTTTCCCTAAAGTAAAAGAACTTTATGCAAAATAGGAGAAATCTAATAGGTTGAGCATGATTGCCATGAAAAAGTTTGTTTCTAAACACTTTATGAGTGGCTTGCTTGAACCAAGAATGTCAAGGAGTTCTTTATCTCTGTATGAGAGAGATACAAGGTATCCAACAAGACTGAAACTAGGGGTCTAATGAATAAATTAACGAGTATGAAATATGACAATTTAAAAGAAGTTAGGGAATATATCCTTAGAATAGTCCATGTTCAAACTAAGCTCAAAGCCTTAAAAATTGTTATTCCTAATGATTTCATTGTTCATCACACTCTTAACTCTTTGCCTCCTGAGTTTAGTCAAATCAAAACTGCCTATAACATCCAAAATGAGTCTTGGACAATAAATGACCTCATCTCCAAGTGTGATTCTGAGAAAGAAAAAATTAGAAAAGAAAAAAGTGAAATTGTCTTGTTTGTTTTTCAACCTAAATCTAGTTTCAAAGATGGGTATCAATAAAATAATAGAAACCCTAATCATAATGCTCCAAAGATTGGCCGGGATTTCAAAAGACATGGTACTAGTCAAAATGTGGAAGGTTTTAAGGCTGTCAATTGAAAAGATGTCAAGTGTTAATTTTGCAAGAAATGAGGTTAGAAGAAAATGAGTGCACTTGATTCAAGTCTTGGTTATAAAAGAAGAATAAAGAAGAAGGTAATTTACTAGTCTTTGTTTCCTTTGAATCCAATATGGTTAATGTCCTATTAAATTCTTGATGGATTGATAGTGGGGGCTTCGGTTCATGTAGCTATGACTTTACAAGGATTCACAAGCAAACGGAGGCCAAGTGAAGGGAAAGCCAAGTTTAAAGTAGAAAATAAAAATGAAGTTCATGTTGAGTTCATAGGAACTATTAGGTTGAATTTAGACACTGGTTTTCAACTTGTTTTAGAAAATACTTTTCATGTATTGTCATTTAGGCAGAATTTGATTTTAGTTTCCTTACTTGATAAAATTGGATATTGTTTTAATTTTAATAATGGTAAAACTCAATTGTCTTTCAATTTCAAAATTGTTGGTCATTGTATTGTATCAGATGGTCTATATAGTATATGTTTGACTGTCAATAACAAATATGGTTCTTCAAATATTGTAAATGTTGTATTTAACAGACCTCTCAATAAAGGAAAATCTTCACAGTTGTGGCATAAAAGTTTGGGTCACATTTCTAGAGAAAATTGGAAAGATTAATAAATAATGATATTCTTCCTCCCCTTGATTTTGAAGACTTTGAAACTTGTGTTGACTGTATTAGAAGTAAATTAACCAAGATTAAGAAGAATATATGCAACTCGCAATCTAGATCTTTTAGAAATCATTCATACTGACATCAATAGACCTTACTCACGTAACTTGTGTGATAATAAATATTTTATTATATTTATTGATGATTTCTCTCGTTACGGATATATTTATTTAATTAATGAAAAATCTGATGCCCATGAAAAATTTAAAATTTTCAAAACTGAGGTAGAGAAACAATTATGAAAAGTCATCATAATTGTTAGGTCTGACCATGATGGTGAGTATTATGGCAAACATGACATGTTTGAGCATCAATTGGGACCGTTTGTCAAGTACTTGCAATATTGTGAGATTGTTGCCCAATATACTATGTCTGGTAATCTCGAGTAGAATGGTGTGGCTGAAAGGGGTAATCGCACCCTTAAAGACATGATGAGGAGCATGATGAATAGGTTTAATTTACCTGATTATCTTTAGAGAGAAGCCATTAAAACGGTTTCATATATTCTTTATAGAGTTCCTAGCAAATCTGTTCCATAAACAACTTTTGAATAATGGACCAATGGGAAACTAAGCCTTAAACTATTTTCGAGTCTAGGATTGTGCTACTGAGGTCCAAATCTATAACCCTTTTGAGAAAAAGACTGATCCTAGAACTATTTTTTTTTTCTTCATAGGTTACCCAGAACATTCACAAGGATGTTAGTTCTATTGTCCTGCATGTGGCACTAAAATTGTTGAGTCCTTAACAACAAAATTTCTAGAGATTGATGTTGCAAATGTTGGTTGCTTGCAACCTATTAGTGAGCATGAGCAAGATAAATTTTTTTATATTACTTTACCTGTTGTATAAGAAAATACTATATGTGCTCCTGTTATTAATTTTCTAGCTCTAGTTGTTGATCCTCCTATTCCTGTAATTGAACCTTCTATTCCTATTGAGGCTCCTCATTCTTTAGAGCATACTACTGAAATTTCTTTGAGAAGGTCTACAAGACCAAAGAGACCTGTTATTTCTAATGAATATTTTGTATACCTAGGAGAAAGTGATTATGATATTGGTGATATTGTTGATCCTGTAACATACCATAATGCTATTACTTGTCCTCAGTCTGATATGTTGGTAAGTGCCATGAAAGATGAGATAGTAAGTTCTCTTGATTTTGTTGAGAACAAGATGAATCAATGCATATATCTTAAGGCCAGTGGGAGTCAATTTATTTTTCTTGTTCTTTATGTTGATGATATTTTGCTTGCAAGTAATGATTTGGGTTTACTTCATGAGATTAAGCAATTGTTGTGCAAAATATTTGACATGAAAGATCTTAGGGAAGTATCTTTTGTGTTAAGCATTCAAATTCATCGGGATAGAAGTCGTAAATTGTTGGTACTTTCTCAAAGGGTATATATAAATCGTATACTTGAAAGATTTAATATACATAATTGTAAGTTTCGGGATATACCTGTTGTGAAAAGTGATAAATTCAGTTTAAGTCAATGCCCCAAGAATAATCTTGAGGAGGAATCTATAAATAATATACCTTATGGGAGTGTTGTTGGTAGTTTAATGTATGCACAGATTTGTACTAGATTTGACATTGCTTTTGCAGTTAGTGTTTTTAGCAGATATCTTTTCAAACTAGGATTAGATCATTAGGTGGCAGCTGAGAAAGTTATGAGACACTTGCAAAGAACAAAACATTACATGCTTGTTTATATTAGAGTTGATAGTTTTGAGGTGATTGGTTACTCAGATTCAGATTTTGCTTGGTGTCAGGATGATTTAAAATCTGCTTCAGGATCTATTTTCATGTTAGTAGGAGGAGCAATATCATGAAAGAGTATTAAACAAACTCTCATAGCTTCTTCTATTATGCAAG